GTATTTCTACAGTACTGTAATTTTTTTTCTCAAAATCAAAAAAAAAAAAATCAGGAAAATAACATTCTCAACTTACAAATGACTATAAATTTTCTAACAATGAAAGAGAGAAGTACATAGTAAAATTAAACTCATGACAAATGCTTCCTATCTCCGACATGTCAGGGTCACCAAATGCCAGTCTAAGCTTCCTCAATTCCCTTACACACCAGCACCATTTGTCCAGTGAGATCCACCTACTACCCTCCTTTCAATCCTGATTCTTTTAACCTGTAGAACAATGTCTCTCTCCTCAAACTCAGGTCACTTCTGAGCCAAAGGCTTATAATTACTTGAAAATCTCTGCCTGTCAGCTTCCTGCTATACCCTCAATTTCATCTTCATCATTAATTCTCCTCAGTCTCAATTTTGCCTAGAGGTCTTTGGATTCAAAGTCCTCTGACACTCCCAGGATAACCATAAATGGATTACAACACAGAATCAGGTTCTAGGGAATACTGATCACTCTTAATAGGCACACAAAGCTCCCCCATATCTCAATTTCCTACTACTCTTATAGGGAGGGTCAAATGCTGCCATCTCCTAAGAGAAATATTATGCTACATCAGTAGAAATGAGAATTTACTGGGGACAAATTATAGTATTATTACAAAGAGATTACAAAAACAATTATGTTCATATATTAAGTGGAATACTGCCACCTGTTTTTTTTTTCACTTCTATATTTCTATATTGTTATATTAAGACGAAAACAAAACCTCACTTTTCCATATTATTTTTCTTATGAGGTGAAAATTACTTGATGACAGATCTATACCGTTTATTTTGTTGGTAGCAGAAATTCTACTAGAAAGGGGACATTCCAAAAATGGTATTTGATTGAATTACTGAGTAGGAAATCACTCCCTGCTTATGATAATTTCCTTACTGTTTATATATTTTTTTCAAATTGAGTTCTCAAGGGTCATTTATAGATAGATGATAACGACCAGTTTTAACTGTTTCTAAAATATGCTATTTGTTGATCTTTCTTAAGGCACTTTTTGGGAAGTCCTTTCCTTGTATAAAGCAAAGAATCCCATCATTGCTGTCCACTTAAATACTGGATTGGTTTCTCATTAAAGTCACAATGTTCCACTATTACATGGTAAATGTAATAGTTTTCTACACATTCCTGTTTCCCTTAACTTAAATTTAAAAACCTAAGACAGAAGCTAAAATAGAACAGAACAGAAGCTAGTACTGGACATACTTCATCATATAGAAAAACTAATCTCCCATTCATTAAGGTTTTTTTTCTCAGCGTGGTAACAGAACAAGAAGAAAGTACTTGGTAAGTTCACATTGTGGGACAGAAAAGGCTAAAAATATTCTTTTAAGAGAAATGCATACCTATAACACAGCTGTTATTTATAAGCTAAAAAGATAAAATTACAATTTTATACTGTATTACAAGCGAATATCTACTTTGTTGTCCAGACTTCCCATTTTGGAAGTTGGGAAATACTTTCACTCTGAAAACAAAAACAAAAACAGTTTTGAAACACAGGAAAGTCGCCCTTGTTTAAATATGCCCCAGGCTACAGGACTAAAGTTAATTTCTGTGGGCTCTGTTCATAATTTGTTCATGTTCATATGACAAATTATTTAATATATTTTTATTTTTTGAGACTTCAAAATATTAATGTTTCTCCACACTTAGATTTTATTCAGGCTATACAACAAACTAAAAAGTATAGAGAAAATACAATCACACTAAAGGAAAAGAAGTCCTCAATCAACATGCTATCAAATTCTGAATCTGGTTACTTAACAAACTTCTCAAATGTTCCCTTCTGCACACAAGACCATGGTGGAAGACTATGTGTGTTCTGGTGGTGGGTGTGGTGAGACAACCCTAGAGGGGAGATCCTATATCTCTAAATCACAAACAATAATGTAACCCAATGCTACCTCAAAAAAGAAAAATCCTTTCTGTTGATACTGCAGATTCCTAGAATCAATCTCAGACCATTACAATCTGATTTGGGGGTGATCCCTATAATGTATTTACATTATTGAACATGAAGGTAATAACCCCACTCTTCCTGTAATACCCCAATTCTACCTGCAAATGAAAAATAAAGCTATACAGTCATTAAATAATTACTTGACCTAAGCTAGTACCTCTAACAGAAGACCTTAAAAGCTACTATATATTTGTTTGTTGGTTGGTAATATTTAAGTCAATACTTCCTAATAGTTCACCTCTACCTGCCTTATAGAAACTTTATAGTGCCAATCTTGAATACCAGTCCAACACATTCTCTCCTCATAAAGTCACCTAAGATCCAAAACCAGACTGATTATCCAATCTTAAGAACAATAGTTAGCAGTCCTTTCCAGTGCAAGACCAGAAATATCTCCTGACCCAAAAGGGAATTACTAGCACTACAGTCCCTTTTGGAGATGTATATATTAAATGGGTTACAGTAGTATATTACCCAGACAGGCTCACATAGCTTGTTCACAAAATAAAGCCATTACCAGCAGTCCAAGAAAACAAAAAACAGAACCAGAAAAACAAGACTTACCAGTTACAAGTTTTGACAAAAAAGCAAGGAAAATACAGAACATCCCTGAATAGATGTATATGTATTGCCAGAATGACAAAACAGAAACTAAATTTCTGCCTCTTTTACAAATGTGTAGGTCAGAGTTAAAACCACAAACAAAATTTTACTTGAAAGTTACATGGTCCTCAAAGATTCAAACTATTTTTGTTTGAATCTCTCTGTACTTTCTCCATATATGAGAAAGTGTAAGTGGTAGTGATCTTATTCAAAGAGGATAAATGTGTAACCAAAGTCAATACCAAGCCTGGTAAGTCCACAATCATAAATTCTATGAATAATGAAATACTCTGCACCAGAATACCCAGACCTCTGGGAGAAGAGTTAGATATGCACGTATTTTGTACTCAAAAGTACTGAGAATAAAGAAACATACTTTCCACTATTTCATGTCCTGCTTGAAGTCACTAAAACATTCTACAACCATACTTCAAAAGTTCTGCAATAAATAACCAATCTATCTGAAGCGTGAAAAGCACCTCAAATTGCTAGAAGCAAATTTCTTGTTGCCTTTAGATGTTGCAGTTTCTATTCTTGTTAAATGATGCTAAATAAGGCTCTGAGAAGTGATTAACACAGTAACTAAATTGATGCATTGCCAACCTATCTCCAACATAGAATGAAAACTTGCAAGCTAGAAAAGGATGAGAAATGCAATTTACCACACAAAGGTTGAAGCACTGCTTCTTTTTTGTTCTCCTCACTGGGGAATTTTTCCAATACCTTCCCAGATATGACCAGTTGCAAATATTTACATCTAAAGGATCACAATCTCTGAGAAAAGGTCCCAATTTTAAGACTTGAGAATGTACTGTAATTCTGTAGGCGCAGATTCACAAATCTGGTAACAATCTTAGCAAGTGGGTGACTAGCCCTTTTTGTGAATATCTTTATTTAGAAGAAATTTCACGTTAAAATCTTACAATGGGTAGCTCTGAGCATTTTACCTAGAACAAAGACTGAATGATATGTATTAAACATATTTTTAACGTTAAAAGTACGAGACAGTTTCTAAGGTTTCTTTCAGCTCAAATCTTCATTTTCTCTTAGTAACTTTACCAGACTATTCTTAGAACCTAAGTAATTACAAATAGAACCTGAATGAAAAAAAAATTCAGAGTTAAAGTTGTCATCATTAAGCTTAAATAAAGAGCACAGCCGGGAAGGTGGCAGTAGAATTAGGCATTCTGAATTCGAACAGGGAGAATATAAAGAGTAGTTCAAGCCGCATGATGAAAAGACCGGCAAATCACGAAGTCTGGCTGGGGTATGAAAAACAGTGGACAGCATGTCTTTCTTTTCGGTGATAACTGATCCACTCAAAAGGGGTGGGCTGCTTCTATTACCGGGACAAACTACCCACCAGAACAACCACCCACCTGCAGAAATACACATGTTAACTAGACAGTGACTCTAATTTTTGTGTGAATTCTCCCTTTACTGCAGGTTTCCTACTTCCTATCTCACAAGAAAATATATATACTCAACGCCACAAAATGTAAGCCATCTCTCCCCTATTTGTGACTCAGGCACTCCTGGTCCAAACAAAAGCCACCGTTTTAACGAGGTTGGGATTTATTCTCTGGATTCAGTAAAGGGCTGTGCTGTTTTGCACGACCTCCTGCAGGCTCCTGCTTTGACCCTCGCCTTAAGTCACACTGCGATAACATCATGACGAACCCATGATATTTTGAGTCTTGAACTGAAAACAGACATCGAAAGCCGGTAAAAGGAAGCCTGAACGCCCTCAGCGACTGGCAGAAGGGTGGAATGCGGACAGGACTTCCTCGGCACTGGGGACGCACGTTTCTCTTCCTTCCACTAAATTAACCTGCCTAGGTCCCCCCGCCCCCCCCACGGCCCTATTAGGAAAAGTCACGGTTGCAACTCGTTGAAGGACAGGGGAACAGTTCCCGGCGCAACACAGAAGTTGGGTTTGGCAGGGGCCGCGACTTAAGTCTCTCTGCCCAATTTCCGAGGCCGACACCGCCTTCTCTGGGGACAAACCAGACTGCCAACTTTCCCGCAGCCCCCTCTTCAGCGCACCGCAGCCCAAACTTTGCCGTTGGTTCACCTGGCCGCGCAGCGGAGAGCCCGGTGTGGCCGCACCCAACCCCCCCACCCCTCCAGGAGGGACAGGCGCTGGCCCGGATCTACAGCCGGCCCTCGGCCCCGCGCCGGCAGCTACCCGCCCCGGAGCCCCCAGTTGCACAGCCGCCGGCTCCCCCCGCCACCCACCCACCACCACCGGGGCCCCCTTCCACCCTCCCAAACCCTCGCGGGAAGCCCGCGATGGGGCGACTGCAACCAGATCCCAGTGTCAGGACGCCCCACCACCCTCTGGGCCCCAGAAAGCCTCGGTCCCGGAGCCTCAGGACGCCCACTCACCATTGGTGAAGGGCTCCATTTTCCCCCCGCCGCGGCTCCTTACAGCCGAAGCGCCCAGGCTTCCTACTCCGAGAGCTGAAGCGGCCCGGCTGACTGAGCATGCCCAGCGCGGGCGCCGAGGGCTGTCGGGGAGGTGCAGAGGGGGCGAAGCCGCTCCTCCGTTCTAGGCTTCCGCCGCTCCGGGTTTTCACGACAGCTGCAGAAAGAGCGAGGGAGACTAGAGAGAAAAACACCACTCGGCGTCTGAGCCTACCTCCCCAGCGGCTCGGGGCAGAGGAAAGGGAGGAGCCGGTCAGCGCGGGGGGGCAGGTCGGTGGGTGGGGCATCAACAAACCCCGCCCCTGGCCAAACTGGCCGGCCCCGCTTAGCCTTGCCAGCGCTGGGCCCACCCAGCGTCCACCCACCCAGCCAACGTGGTGGTCAGCAGCCACCAGACCAGCCCGATCCTAGTCGCTGGGACAGGGCACTATGCGGAAAACACGCGGTCATTGCCCCGTGGAGCTGACTCTTGAGTCAGGTCATAGACACAGAAGGCACGCGAAACTAAAATAACGCATGAAATCAGGGTGGTATGATGGAGAGTTAAGTGGGTAGCTAATTCGGATGGCTTGGTGAGGAGAGGTCCCGTGAGGAGTGCCAGAGAAGCCGAGATCTGAGGCATAGCAGGAGCCGGCGGGTTAAGACCGCGTCTCAGAGTGCGAGCTTCGGTGTCCCTGGGGAAACTCGCTCCCTGGAGCTCACTTCTCCCAGGCCCGAAAGAGCAAGCTCTCTGGGTCGTCTCGGCAGGGCTGCCTACTCTTAGCAGAGGGCCAAGCCGGCCCTCACCGGCCAAGCGTCGGCGGCCCGGCTACGGAAGAGAAGTCTTGAGTTTCCTCCTCCTCCTCCCCACCATCCTCCCCGGAGGCCGAGTGCGCCCGGGTCCAGCGCTCCGGATAGCGGCTCCCGGAGTGGCCTCTACATAGTGGCGAATCCTAAAACACGGCTCTGGATTCACTGGGGGCCGCTGGACCTGGGCATAAGGCCTGAGGGCACCCAGATTTAGATCAATCCCTGCGGGTGCTGGGGTGCCGCCTCTGGGGCCAGCAGCCGGGCGACTAGGCCGATGAAAGGAAACTTCCTTAACAGTTCACTTTCCCCAGCACGCGCTCCATTGCCGCCTGCCCGGAGCCTTCATTGTTTCTAATGGCAAATCCAGACAGATCCCGAGGACCTTATAATGGAACCACAGGGATCCAGATGAGCCCGGGTGAAGCTCGTGGGGACCCTTCCTTATCCCCAGCTCCGCGAGCGCTTGGCCAAGGAGCTAGCGGCTGAGGCCGGGACCTCCCGACGCGCAGCCACAACCGCCGCCCACCCCCCTCCCTCCGCCTTCCCCACCGCCTGCGGCCGTCCGGGCCCCTGCGGCGATTTGGCTCGGGCCAAACCTCCGTGCGCCTGCCAACTGTCACACGCTTCTCCGAGGCTGTCAACAGCAGGGCGTCGGGTGCAAACAAGCCGGCGGCGAACGCAAACAGCCTGGGCAAACAGGCAGTCTTTGTTGTTTGACCCTCGCGGGAATTAAATTAGTTTTCAAAGAAGTAAAATTAAGCGCAGCATTGTGTTTTGGGAATATAGTATTTTTAAATGTCAGTGGTAGTAAATAACCTACTCCCTATTTGTGCTTTGAAACCACCGATGGACATCATCGTACAGAATAAAAGCCAAACTTCTTACCTGGTTCTGAGACTGCGTCTCCTATACGTGATCATGACGCTTTGGCCAGAGATAACTTCTTGCTATTGCTAGAAGATTCCACCCAGTTTTGTTAACCATTCCTCTTGTGTGTACTTCACTCATGAACTGTTCTTTTTGCCTGCTGATTCCTTCTTGTCATTTCAGTCTCGGCTCAAATGTCACCTCTGCAGAGGTCTTCCTTGACCACACAATCAAAAATAGACACAAACATGGTCTACTTTATAAAGACTGAGCCCGGTATTATTTACTTCATGAATCACTGTTTTAAACAATGTTTTTTGCTTCTATTATCAATCTCCCTCTCAAGAATACAAACTGTTTAGACAAGGTGATTATTTTTATTTTTTTATGCATTCAAGAACTAGGTGTATGCCAGGGATAGCGTGGTGGTGGTGGTGACCAGAGGATTCACCAGAGACAGAGTGGGACCAGAACAGGCAGATCTACTGAAATAAACTGCTGAGTGGAAGCAGCAGGCAAATCAGGAGAGGTCTGCGGTGCCCTGTGGGTTAGCTCCCTGGCTAGGGATGGAGTACCTTTTGCAATGGCTGTCTATCGCTTGATAGTGCTGAGACTTTCACCCTGAGCCCTGATTACCTTTTTTAAAGGATGATATTCCGATCCATAAATAAATGCAGTAAATACTTTTTAAATGAGTAGGTTAATGGATGTGAGGTATTTAGGATTCTAATTTATCTGCTTTGCTGAAAAACCCTTTCAGAGAATATCTCTGTATTGAATGGTGTGCTTGTGATTGGTACAGAGAATGTGTCTGTATGGTAAACCAAAAAGGCTCCGTTTTCCCCACTGTGTTAAAGCTAATAGGAGCCCTTAGGCTGCCTTCCTGTAAGGGCACCTCAGAACTAAAAATGGGAAGTGAATGACAGAAACTGGTGCATCGTGATTAGATATTATATAGTTCATTGGGGGGCTGGATTTTTGCTAAAACACACCAGCACTCTATATTGCTTAGATGAGCAGCTTTTGTCTATATTTTAGATCATATCATGATTCTTTGGAGTTATTTTTATAGCCAAAGCACTTTATAGCAGATATATTTAAAACTCCACAGCTTGTTATATCACTCCACCTCACCTTACCTGTAAGCTAGAGTCTATCATGCTTGTAAGTGTGAAATGTTACCTTGCATTTTGTCTTAAATACTTTAGTTCTGCGGAGACTTGTAAAAATGTTTCACCAAAGCACTGGCAGATAAGTGTATTTCATTTCTTTCTGAGTTTCTTTGACAAATAACTTCTTTGTCCTCTGTCAATCTCTTACCTTTCATCTCTCACATCCTTACACACACACACACACACACACACACACACACACAGTCATTTAAAAGAATTGTGATTTTGTGTTGGAGGTAAGAAATAGAGTAAAAACAAAAACAGATGTGTCACAATCTTACCTTTAAAAGAATAATGATGATTTTTAAAATTTTATTTTATGTTTTTTGAAACCCATTTCACATTTCAATTATGAAGTCTTTCTGAGGGATCATAATTTCACTGATTCTCTACTGAAACCCTTTATGTTTCTATCTTTAATCTCCTTCTGCCCGCCCACACAGGACTTCCTCTTTAGTTCAAGGGTACAGCAGTTTAAATTATTTTGAAGTTATTATTCATTATCAGAGGAGATACTATCTATTACATCCATCTACTATTTTCAGAATCATTGCTGTCTACTGTTTAGTGTGTGAAAGCCAAAAATTTGGAGGGCTATTTATAACATATACAGATAAAAAAAAGGGGGGGGGGGAGGGAAGATATGAGCTCCCTTAATAACAAGCAGTGTTTATAAATAATGACCAAAAAAGAAAAAAACCCTTGGTTTTATCAAAATAAGACACTTGACCTGCTGCCATGAGTCAGCTAATTTAAGCCTCAGTTGAACAGATGAGGGAACTGAAGTCTAAAGAAGTTAGGAGATTTACTCACAGTCCAGTTGTAGATATGAATGGGAATGTTCTGTGTTCTGAATTAGGAGTAGATTTTTGCTCCCCTGCTTCCATTGAGTAATTAGGGTGAGTGACAATAGCACATGAAATAAATAGTAATAAGAGAAACACAGTTAACTTCAGATTACTACATGACTAGCTCTTTAAGGATTAAATGATATGCCAATTTAATTTGATATTCCATATCAGTTTTAGGTTTAACATTACTAACTGTTCTCTCTAATTATTTATAAGCAAGCAACAAATACATTAATTTATTCTACATATCTGAAAATGATACTTGTCCAGCACTTCTGAACAAATGGAGAAAACAGCTTGCTCCCTGGATAAATATGAACACTCAGGTTCCTAGCTACTCCAGAATCTATAGTCACACCACGATTGTAGGAGTTAATAGCTCCACCCCTGTAGCCTATTTGCAGCATTTGCTCTGCAACAGTTAGTGATGCTTGAAGTTATATAAATAAAGAAATAGTGCATGAGGAAAGCAGGATAATTATCCAACAGAGTTTTTGTAGTGCATAGACATTAGCAAAAAGATTCAGCCAAAGAGAAAAGTTCAGACATTTAGACTACAAAAACCAAAATCCAATAAAAATCATCTCCTATGAGATCAAAGATAAGGCACTCTCCACTTACAGCTCCCAACCTCATCAAAAACCCAACTTCGCACTCTGTCCACGCTGACCAATTTTCTGAGAGACCAAATGCCTTGTGGTTAAAAGAGGTGACTGCTGCAGTGAGGAAGAAAACTTATGTTCTGGTATTTCTTTCTTAAGAGCAAGGAAATTTTTCTCAGAAATCTTTCATCAGAATTCTGCTTAACCCTCATTTGGCACAACAGTATTTCGTACATTTCTAAACCAGTCGCTGGAAGAACAACAAAGATTACCAGGATCTGTTTCTTAGACAAAGCTGAGGTTAGGAGTGCTGAGTTCAGGATCACCTCCTTTGTTTTATATGGGGAAGGAAAACTATTTGGATGAAATTACTTTTCTTATTCAGAAGTGAAAAGTAGTTCTTAACTGAAATGTTAGGTAGACAAACTAAATATCAAGAAAGTTTATGAATGTATGTATTTTAATAACATTTTGTTACTAATTTTTAGACCCAAGATATCTGCATACATAAAGAAAAATTGATTTCAGTTCAGTGTAATTTTTCATAAAATAATATTGTCAATATAGTTAGGTTTACAAAGAAAAATGGTGTATTATGAAACCATTAAATTTGACCTGAAAGTAACTACTAAAATGTAAAAAAATAAATAAATAAAAATTAGCATTTGTGTTAGCTTGCTGCTATTATAAAAAAATCACCATAATCTGAGTAGCTTAAACAACAAAAATTTATTGTCTCATGGTTGCAGAGGCTGAAACCCAGTATCAAGAGGCTGACAGGTCCATATTCCCTCTGAAAGCA